GATGCCAGCAGAGGTGGGGGCAGAGATTGTCTGGTGGGAACTCTCTCAGCCGAGGAGAAACCGTAGAGACAACACACTCAAGGTGCTTCAGGAGGCACCTGGATGGGGGGGCTGGAAGGGCCGAGACCCCCGAGAGGAAGAGAAAGTGGGTGTTTCCCTTGTGGTGGCCCTGAGTGAATGGAAGGGAAGGTTGGAAGGATTAGGTGAGGGTGAGTCAGCAAGCTAGGGAGAAGCCTCTCCCTTCTCCTCTTTTCACCCCACGCCAGGCCCCAAAGAGAATCGTGCTTTGTGGCAGGACATGGTGTTAGTTTTGACTACATGTTATCCACATTTGGTGTCAACTGTGGCTTTGCACGTTTTTTAAAAAATCATAAAGAGGGCCAGCCCCGTGGCTTGGCGGTTGGGTGCGTGCGCTCTGCTGCTGGCAGCCAGGGTTCGGATCACAGGCACACACCGGCCCGCCACTTCTCCCGCCATGCTGAGGCCCGTCCCACATACAGCAGCTAGAAGGATGTGCAGCTGTGACATACAACTATCTACTGGGGCTTTGGGGGAAAAATAAATAAATAAATAAAATTATAAAAAAATAAAAAATAAAAAATAAATCATAAAGAGGCCGGCCCAGTGGTGTAGTGGTTAAGTTCGCGAGCTCCACTCTGCTGGCCTGGGTTCGCGAGTTCAGATCCTGGGTGCGGACCGATGCACTGCTCATCAAGCCATGCTGTGGCGGCGTCCCATATACAAAGTAGAGGAAGATGGGCACAGATGTTAGCTCAGGGCCAATCTTCCTCACCAAAAAAAAAAAAAAAATCATGAATGTATATATGTTAAGGTAGAAGGATAAAACATTTAACAGCTTGTTAGATTGATTTATAGCCTTAAATGTTTGGACATATGGTATGTGGGATACTCTTGCCTCAGGCTTTACATTCTTAGGAGGGTGATGCAAAGTTACTGACTGGCCTACAACACAGGCTCAATGAGGGGGCTTGGGAACTTTCCATGCCTGGGGTTAGAACGTACAGATGCCTAATTGAACATGGATGATTGAGAGAGGGCTACAGCATGTGTAATCGAGAGAGGGCTTCATGATATAGAATTGATTAAGCAGCAGGTAAAAGGACTCATGAAGAGAGATGATGGGAGAAGATGGAATAATATGGGTCTAGAAGTTAGTATGAGAGCATTTTGAGTCAAGTGGCCTGCCACGGTCCCTCTGAATTGGCTAGAGCTGGGCTATCTGCAGAGGTGCATGTGTGGTGCCTTGGTTAGAATTTAGCCTGAGGTAGTGGGGACCTTTCCCAGCTACTAGCACCATCCTTTCCCATTTTTAGTTAACCACCAGAACCTTAGAGAAAAATAAATGATCTGATGCAGTTGTGTGGGTAAGTCGAAGACAGTCATGTGGAATGGCGTTAAAAATAGCCATGAACTAAGCCCGTGCTAGATGATAATATATATAAGGCAGCTTCTTGGCCTAAATTATTTTCCTCAAAAGTTTTAGTTCTCTCTATTGGGGTATTATTTGTGGGACCACATTTTATGGGACGCACAGTTTTATGGTAGAGGTTCTTTTTAAAAACAGAGGTTACCTTTGGAGGACAGTTTTGTGGGAGCATTTATCTTTTCTGAATTAAGGTGTGCCTGTCTTCCGCCAGCAGACTGGGTTTAAGCTGAGTAATGTTTTTGTGGGTCTACTTGGAAGTGCCAGGAATAAGTTATTCAAAAGAATCAGGGTTGTGGTGGGGCCAGTGATCTTTCTGGTCCTTTACCATTAGCTAGTCTGAAAACTCTGGTCCCCACTAGGAGTTTTCAGCTCCAGATAATGACTCACACTTTGTTAGTAGGGTGGAGTTAATAACACGTGTTGCGTTCTGTTTTCACCGATTTGTCTGGGAATAATAAAAGAAGCATATGCCTCTGCAGAAGAAAAGGAGCACATAACACATATCATAAAGTGTTGTCGCTCTTCTGCTTGTCTGCTGTTTCAAATTCAGTCCCTATAGTTGGAAATCTGGCATCATTTGCCAGCATTAATTTTATTCCATGTTGCAGTTGCCTTTAGTGTTCTTTAGTGCTCAACATCTATTTGTCAGCTGTTATTTAAAGGAACGAATAAATTTGTCAGTATTCAGTAAGCAGAAAATAACCCAGAGAAATAAAAGTTTGAATCTGAAGTTGTTAAATGGAACAGCCAGTGAAGATGACCATATAAAACTAGTGACCCAATCACAGGCAAGTTAGTCACATTTTTATGAATTTACCATAGTTCAGTTGATTTTCATTTCTTTAAAGAGTCCAGTTCTAACTCTTGTTATAGTGAGCATTGCCCTAGAGTCAGAGAGAACTAAATAACTCAGTTGTTTCCTGAGCCATCTCCAATACATTTTGGAAATTGCTCAATATTGCCACTCATATTCTAGGCCATGCTATCCTCAAAGTATTTTGGGTGTGTATGGTTCTAATTTCAGTATTCTTGAGTGTTTACCGTCAGAAGCTCTAGGTTTAGGAGGGGAGCTCACTGGATGAAATAACATATATTTTTTAATTTTCCCCAGAGAATTTTAGTTTGGAAGAATCTGATTTAAAAACCTATTTTAATGTGATCTTGTGTGTGTGTGTGTGTCTGTGTGTGTGTGTCTGTGTGTTGTGTGTGTGCATCTTAGGGAAATAACTAGGAAATACTTTTTAAGGTAGGAAATAATGAGAAATGTTTCTGGAAAGTTAGGTCCCTTTAACTTCCCTCTCTGTTAAAGAGGCATTCCCCCACTATTAAAGATAGCCCCACTCCTACAAACTAAACAGAATTCAGATGGATGTATTAGAACCCCATGCTTTCATTTTTAAAAAGCTGTGTTGCTTTTTACAGCATGACTATAAATAAATGTTTCTTGCATAGATTCTGCAGGCTTTTTTTGCTACTACAGATTGCATATTCGAGGGACCCTCTGCTCTTCTCCTCTTCCTTCCAACATCAGGGTTCCAGTAGGAACTTGGCTAAAGGTATAATGATCCTGCAAGCCTCATCTCTTAGTTATAATGAATGAAAGGCTCAGTATAACTGATACCAGTTTCCAATGCCACTCCTTTTACCAACACAACCTAAGCGGACCTAGATATTGGCCAAGCAAAGGTCTAGACATAGCCATTTTTAGTTCCTCTTACACTTTACTAATGTAGGCAGCAGAGGTGAAACTTAGGCCCTCCATTTTCTGAAGCATTAGACGCAGACTTTGTGTCTTTATGCTTCCCTGCTCTGCATTTTGGATCTTTGCTGTGGCACACCCAGGGTGAGGCAGGTTAAGAATCACCCATGTGCCACATAACAGCAGCCGACTTGAGTCACTCACTCAAGACACCTGTGCCTGATCCCTCAGTTACTTCTAGACCCACTTTTGTTTTAATCACGTCCTCTTCAGTGTCTAATCTTACATCTTGGTCCCTGCCTCTGACTCTCCCAGGCAAATGGCCTTGATTCTCTGTTATGCCTTGAATGGAAACTTTATGTTCTAACTCAAGTTTATGGGTTCCAACTCCCATCATTGCCCACTTGACCAGCCAGAACCTTTTTGAGCAGCAACCACTTCAGTGTGATAAATTGCCTTTCTTCTCAAATTCTCTTCTCTTTCATGTCCTCAGTTTGTCTATTAACCTTTGCTGACCATCCAACTCTATATGCCATTAAATTTCAGGTGTATGGATGAGTACTGTTTTTGATGCTGAAGGTCAAAATATAGCAAATGCCAGGTAAACAAATATATAACCATTTTTAGATGTTAGTCTTCCATTCCTGATCATCGAGAATAAAGCCTGTTATCAAGACAGTAGTACTTTCTTCAGCAATTTCTCTGGGGTCAATGTATATCCTCCAATATAATCTTATTTGATCCTTAATTGTTTAAAAGCCTTTCTTGATTAATTGATTTCTCATTGATGTACTGTTGGCACCAAAGAGTATATATTTATTTGAGGGAGTGTGCACTGGCATTAAATAATTTTTATGAATTCTACTAGAGAATATGTTTTATTCTGCTGGAAGCATTTATTTTATGCTTTTCTTCCAAGTGGATGCTGGAAGATGGATTTTGTCTTTTTGCCACTTCCTTACATTTAAAAACTCAAATCAGGGGCCAAAAAATCATCAGTGTCAGGAACACTCTAGAAATTCTGTATTATGTATTGTGATATTGTCTTAATTCTTCTTTCTCAGTTATAGAAGTAACTTCTTCCTGATTGGGTCTCCACACACACAGTCAGGAAACAGTTGCTTACCACATCCATCACTTCTGTCTACACATTATCGTGTTTCAGAAGTTTCCCAATTAATCGTGTGGAAGCTAGAATCACTCATAATTATAATCCTGTTATGCCTTCTTTATTTCTTGATGTGCTTGTTAATTCATGTCCATCCTGCAGTGGTCTGTAACATAGTGCTGTTATCATCTCTTTCGTCCCTAAAAGCCTCTTGTCTCCCATTTTGACTAAGATTGATTCACTGCACTTTGTTGAAATCGATCATTTTGGATTAAAAACAATCTATCCTGTATATTTGTTCTGACTACTTTTATATGATCTCACTTTTTTTCAGTTAATCAATATGACAAGCTGGTTGCTTTTCCCTTTCTGGCTTCCTTTCTCTTGCTCTTTTCTTTTTTAAGATCTGTCAGTCTCTTTCTGCCCCTGCTTAGACAACATCTTTGGGAAGGAAAGCCAGTTGCAGGAGGCAGTGGAATAAATTCTCCTTTTAGAACCAGGCTAGACACTACTCCCATTTCCCTTTTCATAAAATGAGAAAGAGGGTCCCTCTCTTTTGGGATCCTCTCCCTGAGAAGTTTCTAGGGTGAGGGCTTCATGACTGACTGCCATGCACTTTGCAGACACGGTAATGTGCTTCTTATTTATAGCCTCAAACTCCTCTGTATTCTAATCTTGCCAGGTGGATTCAAACTTAAACACCAAAATTCTTTTGGACATACTAATATTTTCTTTTCTTCTCCTAGGTACTGACTTTAACATAGATAGTTTACCTCTGCCTCGGAAGGCCCATCACGACTGGGCACTTTTTCACGAAGAGTCTCCGAAAAACAATTATAAGCTGTTTCACAAGCCAGTGATCACCTTGTTCAACTACACTGCCACGTTCAGCCGGCATTCCCACTTACCACTAACTACCCAATACTTGGAGGGCATAGAAGTCCTGAAGTCACTCCGATACCTGGTCCCTTTGCAGTCCAAAAACAACCTTCGAAAAAGACTTGCTCCGCTGGTGTATGTACAGTCAGACTGTGACCCACCGTCAGATAGAGACAGTTATATCCGAGAGCTGATGACTTACATTGAGGTCGATTCCTATGGTGAGTGTTTACAAAACAAAGATCTCCCTTGGCAGCTGAAAAACCCAGCCTCTATGGATGCTGATGGCTTTTATAGGATCATTGCTCAGTATAAGTTTATCCTTGCCTTTGAGAATGCAGTTTGTGATGACTACATCACTGAGAAGTTCTGGAGACCTCTGAAACTGGGGGTGGTCCCTGTGTATTACGGATCCCCCAGCATCACGGACTGGCTTCCAAGTAATAGAAGTGCTATTCTCGTGTCAGAGTTTTCTCACCCTAGAGAACTGGCAAGTTATATCAGACAACTGGATTATGATGACAGACTGTACGAGGCCTACATAGAATGGAAGCTGAAGGGTGAGATCTCTAATCAGCGACTTCTCGCAGCTCTCAGGGAACGGAAATGGGGTGTGCAAGACATCAACCAGGACAACTACATTGATGCATTTGAGTGTATGGTGTGCAACAAGGTGTGGGATAATATTAGGCTTCAGGAAAAGGTAAGCGAATCAAGGTTTGGCAAAGAGGTGCTGGGATGGCTATCCTGATGGTCTCTGCCATTCTGCATCCTTCTGTTGCTGCTGCCTCATCGCTACTCCTGTTTCCTATCGGAAAGGCAGGCTCTGCAGGAAAGTTGAATATTTCCTTGCTATCGTTTGATGACTGTCATGAAGTTTACTAGTCATGTCCTTCTTCCTGATGGCCTTAAATTCTCCTTTATTGTTTCTTCTGAAGGACACCATGCTGCAGATGCTGGGCAGTAATACAAGGAGACTGCAGAGGAGGGAAGAAGGCCAAAAAAGAAAAAAAATGGAAAGTTCTGAATCTCATCCACATAGTCAATCCCTTAACCTCTCCATCAATGCTGTGGTTTCTGCCAGACCCCTTACACTCAGCCCCACAGGCTGCTATTTTTTTTTTGTTTTTTTTTCGAGGAAGATCAGCCCTGAGCTAACATCCATGCCAATCCTCTTTTTGCTGAGGAAGACTGACCCTGAGCTAACGTCTGTTGCCAATCCTCCTCCTTTTTTCCCGCCCCCCAAAGCCCCAGTACATAGTTGTATGTCATAGTTGCACATCCTTCTAGCTGCTGTATGTGGGACACGGCCTCAGCATGGCCAGAGAAGGGGTGCGTCGGTGCATGCCCGGGATCCGAACCCGGGCCGCCAGCAGTGGAGCGCGCGCACTTAACCGCTAAACCACGGGGTCCGGCCCCAGGCTGCTATTTTGAAACTTACTTTCATTTTACATACACCATCAATTAACCCCTCTCTCTCTCTCTGATTCTTGCTCTTTCTCTTTCTGGCATACACACGTGCTTATTAATATAGAGAGGAAATTCAAATAATGATGGGGATAATATTTAAAAGACTTCTTTTCCTTTAATTATTATAAAGTTCTTAGTAATGTCTTCAAATTTCTAGATGCTCTTAATGTTTGTTTAATTGCTTACTTTATTTATTTATACCAGGAATGGTCCTATTTTATATATAACTGAATTTGTTAAAAGGTAATTTATTGAAAGGAAAAGAAAGATTAGTTTCAACTACCTTGGAAATTTTTAAAAAATGAGGTGGCCCACACATACTACTTGGCTGTCAGCTATCATTCCCTGGCTTGACTCCCATATACACATAAAGTTTTATCTAAATTCTCCAAAGGAAAACAATTTTTGTTAAATATTTAAATATTTATTTTGGCTAGCATATTAATTTCAGGTCAAATATAAACCTAAACAGTCTGTGGAATTATTTTTATGTGTTGTATGTATACTATATAAGACTTTTGTATGCTCAATATATATATGTTGAGACAAATTTAAAATATTTGAAACATTATTTTCCTCATTTTAATTATTATTAAAATTTAAATTCTTTTATCTGGTTTTATGTAACAAATTTTTACTCATAAAATCATTTATTTTAAGTTGAATGTCTTGGTCAACAACAGGAACACTAAATATTACCTCATTCTCAGAGAATGCATCCTGTTTTCCAATGACTTCCTTTATGACCTAATTTAAAGGGCCACATTACAGCAAAAAACCAAAATACACACACTACTGCAAAGAGACATGAGAAAGTAGAGACCACATTAATTGCCCATGCTTTACCGATTATTTATTCTGAAAATATATCAAAGCAGAAAGCAGAACTTCTGAGGGCGATGATTTGCCTGGCCTGTCTTTCACGATCCTTTCCAGGCTTGGAGATTATATTCCCAGAAAACTGAAAGAACTACACAAACCCTACCTGCTCCTGCACCTCACAGAGCCCTACTGGGATGATTAGCGGGGCCTGGAGAAGAGGGTATAACGACGTTGGTAAATAGCTTTTTAAAAGATACAGGAGAATACTTGTATTCCTGCATTTCCAACAGAAACAGCTAGCTGTGGTATTTCAGAGCGCCTGAAGGCGGTAGGATTGAATGTCCTTCTCTTTGGAGTGTGAAGAAAGATGGACAGAGTAGGCTCTCCTCCCGTGTGCTCTTATTCCTCCCAGAGAGGTGGTCAGGGAAGTCCATCAGAATCATTAAAATTGCTTGCATTTCAATGAACTTGTCACATTTCTCAAATGCTAATGCGCTCATTATTGAAAAGCAGGACAAAACATACCATGAAATAAATTAAAGGGTTTTAGACCAGTTGGTTTCATTTGCATTCATTTTACAAGATTTGTTACAGCTTATATATGGCATGCCTTAATGTAAGCTATTTAAATATAAGTTTCTTAACTTTTTCTCTTTCAGCCAAAGAAAAGCTGAAAGAAATAATTTGATTTCCTGTAACTCTGGTTATTTTTTTATCTTCCAGTTGATAATATTTTAAATCATTGTATTTAGGTATGGAAAATACTATTAGAATATCAAATGCATTTCTGCTGTCTCTACTCTGCCTCTCCTACCCTTCCCTCTCATAAACACACAGACCTAGTGAATTATCTGTTGCTGTGTAAACAATATTATCACAAACTTGGTGGCTTAAAACAACATACAGTTTGTTATCTCACAGTTACTTTGCGTTAGGTCATGGCTTAGCTGGGTTCCCTGGAAGGCTGCAATCAAGGTGTCAGTCAGGGCTGGGTTCTTATCCGGAGACTCAGCTGGGGGCAGGTCTGCTTCTAAACTCACATGCTTGTTGGCAGATTCAGTTTCTTGAGGTTGTAGGACTCAGGGCTTCAGTTTCCTGCTGGCTGGAGGGTATCCTCAGCTTTTAAACGCCACCCACAGTTCCTTGTCGTGTAGCCTTCCTAATATGTCTGCTTACTTCCTCAAAGCCAGCAAGGGAGTGAGAGAGTCCAACAAGACCAGTACTACAATCTTACATATGTAATCAAGTACACGTAATCACATACATCCTCTCACCTTTGCTGTGTTCTATTGGTTAGAAGCAAGCGACCACACCCACACTCAAGGGGAGGGGATGACACAAGGGCATGAATACCAGGAGGCATGGATCATGGGGGCCATCTTAAGTCTGACCACCACACCAAGTGAATCTGAGTAGGCTTATTCTCTGTGTTGTATGCTTTATTTATGTAGGGGAAAGTCTTTCAGTATTGAAGAGGGCATCTCATGAGTTAATTTTAGTCAGTCAAAGATCATTTATTGATAAATAATCCTCTCCTCAAAGCGGGGAGACAACATGTAATCATCAGAAGTATAACTATGCGAAACTGGGATAAGCTTCTAAAAAATTAGCTTTATTGAGGTATAATTGACATACAATAAATTGCACATGTTTAAAGTGTACAGTTTGATTCGTTATGACATATACCTGTGAAACCATGGCCACAATCAAGATGACAAACATTTGTATCATCCTCCAAAGGTTTCCTTATGAACCTTTGTAGTCTGTCCCTTCTCCACTAGCTTCCTCAGGCAACCACCTGTCTGCTTTTTGTCACTTTTGACAAAGACTAAGGCAGTTTTCTAGAATTTTATGTAAATGGAATCATGTGGTATGTACTCTTTTGTGTCTGTCTTCTTTCACTCTGCGTGATAATGTTGACATTTATCCACAATGTTGTGTGTATCAATAGTTCGTTTCTCTTTATTGCTGAAGTTTGGACGTACCAAAATTTCCATATCTGTCCACCTGTTGATGGACATCTGAGTTGTTTCCAGTTTATGGCTATTACAAATAAAGCTCCTATAAACGTTCATGTACAAGTTTTGCTATGGACATAGGCTTTCATTTCTCTTTTGTAAATACCTAGGAATGGAATCGCTAGGTCATATGGTAGATGTATGTTTAACATTTTGAGAAACTACCAAACTGTTTTCCAAAGTTGTTCTATCTTACATTCCCACCAGCATTGTATGAGAGTTCCATTCATGAGCAGTTTGATGTGGTCAGTCTTTTAATTTTTATCATTCTGGTGGATGTATAGTGGTATCTCACTATGGTTTAATTTACATTTCTCTAGTATCTAATGATTTTGAGTATCTTTTAATGGCTTATTTGTCATCAACATTTTCTTTGGTGAAATGTTTATTCTTATCTTTCGCTCATTTTTAAAAACTTGGGTTGTCTTGTTAATCTTGAGTTGTAAGAATTCTTTATATATTTTGGATACAAGTCATTTGTTAATTATAAAATGAACAAATGTTTTCTTCTAGTCTGGGTTGTCTTTTCATTTTTTTTTTTTTTCTCAGAAAGATTTGCCCTGAGCTAACATCTGTTGCCAATCTTCTTCTTTTTGCTGAGAAAGATTCGCCCTGAGCTTACATCTGTGGTCAATCTTCCTCTTTTTTTTTTTTTTTGTATGTGAGCTGCCACCACAGCATGGCCACTGACCAGTGGTGTAGGTCCACACCTGGGAACTGAACCCAGGCCACCAAAGCAGAGCGTGCTGAACTTAACCACTAGGCCACCAGGACTAGCTTTGTCTTTTCATTTTATTAACAGTATCGTTTGAAGTATAAAGTTTTTAATTTTGATGAAGTCAGATCAATTTTTGATTTAAATTGATGAAGCTCATCAATTTCTTTCTTTTATAGTTTCTGCTTAAATTGATGAAGCTCATCAATTTCTTTCTTTTATAGTTTCTGCTTTTTGTGTTCTGTTTAAAAATCTTTGTCTAACCCAAGCCACTAAGATTTGCTTCTATTTTATTCTAGAAGTTTTGTAGTTTTAACTTTTACATTTAGGTCTATAATCCACTTGGAGTTCACTTTTGTAATGTAGAATGATGTAAGAGTTGAGGTTTGTTTATTTGGATATCCAATTGTATCAGCACCATTTGTTGGAAAGATTATTCTTTTCTGATTGAATTACCTTGGCTTCTTTTTCAAAAATCAATTGGTTATATATGTATGGGTCAGTTTCTGGACTGATCAATTTGTCTGTTTTTGAGTACTGTAGCTTCATAATAAGTCTTGAAATGAGGTAGTGTCAATCTTCCAACTTTGTTCTTTTTCAAAATTATTTTCACTATTTTAGGTCTTTTGCTTTTCCATATACATTTTAGATTCAGTTTGTCAATTTATATGAAAATTC